AATGCAACCAGAACCATCAAATAAAAGATTTAAAGAATCTATTCAGATACCAGATAATCAGGTAGACATAACAATAGAAGATCCAGTTGTATCAAATAAAACCTCTAATCAAAACCCAATCACAACATTAGGTTTTAACAATTCAATCATACCACCTGAGAGTATTAGGCCTCTGCTTAAAGCAGGCCCGAGGTTAGCATCAAAAAGAGGTAGGAAAAAGCGGTCAATACTATGATTCTTACTAACACGTCTGTCAAAGCATGGCTTGCTAATTATAAAAAGAAGAAAACTAATAAAAAAAAATTTACTAATGGTAAGTAAAAAAGAATTAATAAAATCAAATCTTGCTATGAAAAAACCTTCTATAGTCTTAAATTCATCTGAAGATGAAGAGTATCTGTGCATCTATTGTTTTGAATCATTTTCCAACAGCCGATCGAGAGAACAGTGGATTCAATGTCAGGTTTGCCAAAAATGGCCTCATGAAGAATGCACACCAGGCTTACAACAGTTTATTTGTGAATTGTGTTCTTTATCCAATAATTTTTAAAAAACCAAACCTAAAAACATTTATAGTGATAAACTAAACTTGTTAATTGTGTTATATTTAAAATATATATATTTCAGTTTATAGTATTTTATTTTTATTTTTCTTAGTAAAACATAAACGAAATTAATTTGTACTCGTTTTACATTAAATTCTTATCTAATCTTGTCAAAATCCAAATGTGACAATCAACCCCGCACCATGTGACAACCTACCCCGTGAGCGGGGCTAGTTGTCACACAGAAGCGGTCTTTGAAAAATGATTTTACAGCAATAAATATTTCACTCAATGTCATAAAAATATTATAATAGTTACTGGAAATAGTTAAACTAGCTTTGTGCAAAGTTTAGCATTGATTGGATGAAAATTAAAAGCTGAGCAGCCTAAAATGTAAAAAGTGTGACAACCAACCCCGCTCTCCCCTATTCCACATATTCCAGTTGAAAATAAATTTAAAGTTAACAGATAGAGTAATTTAATAGCATTGAGTAATAATAATAATAATAATAATAATAATAGCAATAATAGCAAAAATAATAATAATATATGTATAATATATTATATTATTATTATTATTATTATTATTATTACATATTATATATATAATAATATGTAATAATAATAATAATAATAATAATAATAATAGCAATAATAATAGCAATAATAATAATAATAATAATAATAATAATAATAATAATAATAATAATAATAATAATAATAATAATAATAATAATATATATATATATATATATATATATGTATTTATATATATATATATATATATATATATATATATATATATATATATATATATATATATATATATATATATATATATATATATATATATATATATATATATATATATATATATATATATATATATATATATATATATATATATATATATATATATATATATAGGGCCGGCGCTAGTATTTTTTGGTTTTTGAGATAGCTAACTTCCAGACATGAAGCAAACTCCAAACATATGTATATTTATACTTATGTCAAATAAGGATGCTTTGCAAAAAATTGCGATAATTGGAGCTTGGTAACAACATAGCCCCAAAATTTTTGCCTAGTCTGCCCCAAACGTGAGAGCAACAAGTTGATAAAATATTTTTTGTACTATTTTTAACTAGACTAATATTCATCGATAAATTTTAAGTTTCATAGTAAAATACTTTAGCGTTCAAAAATTATGACTATATAATGTTTAAACCCCCTCAATTTGAGGGGGTTGCAAATTTTATATTGTTATAATTTTTGAACACTAAAAAATTATACTATAAAACTTAAAATTTAACGATGAATAAATGATAGGATTCAAGTTAAAAAGTCAGGACAACTAACAAAACTAAGCGATCAACTTTTAGTAGCAAATTCTACCATAAATGAGTTAAATGAACGAAATGAAGAGGGCTAAAAATATCATTATTTATAGAGTGTCAGAATCCAATAAAGTTACTTTAGATGATAAAGTAGCTAAAAATAAGGCGAAAGTCTTGGAAATATTTACAGAAATTGGAGTTCAAGACATTAGATTTGAGAATGTGAGACGATTAAGAAGTAAAATTTCTGACGAACCAGGCCCATTGCTGGTTAACTTGGCTGATTCCAATCTTTGAAACAAAATACTAATTTCATCAAAAAAATTGAAATTGCTTCCAAGTTTTAAAAATATCTATATATCTCCAGATTTAACAGAGGTTGGACGGCAACAGGATTTTATACTCAGAACAAAGCGAAATAAACTGAATAATGCCCTTAAGGAGACGGATCCCTATTGGTATGGTATGCGTGGAAATCAGATACAAAAATTTAAAAAGAAACCAATAGAAGTTAGACAGTAAGGCTAATTGTCTGTTATCTATGAGTAGCATTAAAAAACTAAATTGCATGTACCTTAATGCCACATCTTTTGACAACAAATTTGACGAATTTAAACTAATAGTTGCAAGTTACAATCCTAAAATAATTACTATTACGGAAAAATGGTTTAAACCTACTTCTATACAAATTAGATGGTTAAAGTTTGTATAAAAAAGATAGATGTGATGGCCGTCGAGGTGGAGGTGAGGTTTATATTGACAGCGAAATTACTTCATACAAACTTAATGATAACAGATTTACATTAAGTCAAATTGAGCATGTCTGGGCTGTTATCCAGTTCGGCAATAATAGATATCTTATTGGATGTATTAATAGACCTTATGACTTCACAGATATGATTGATATTGAAAATGTATTTAAAATTGCTAAAGAATATGTCAACCAAAAAGGTTATAAAGATCTAATCATAGTTGGTGATTTTAACTTTCCTGGAATAAGTTGGTCCAATGGTTCAATAAATTCAATTAAAAAATCGTTAACATGTTAACATGCCAACATTTTAAACAACAAATAAACTTGCTGTAAATATTTTAGATTTAATATTCACTACTCAGTCAGCAAATATAAGTACCATTGATAGTAAATTTGTTTTAGAAAACATATCAAGGGGTCATTTGATATTGTGCTTTGATTTTATTCTTAAAAGTAAAGCAGTGAATAAAAATACAGAGGAAAAAAAACTTTTATATAGAAAAACAGACTATAATAGCATTAATGATTTCCTTACAAGTGTCGATTGGCTTCAGTGTTTTCATACCAAGAATGTTCAAGAAATGTATGATGAGTTAATTCATTATACTGAAGAAGTGTGTAACTTATATGTTCCTATAAATACCTCAAGTTCATCGTCAAAGAAACTATACCTGAACAAAGAACTTATCTTACTCATTAGGGAAAAACAGAAATTGTTCTAGTAAATGGAAAAATTCAAATCTTTGTAACCAATATAAACAATTATCAAAAAGAGCGTCATTTGAAATTTCCATTGCAAGACAAAAATACGAATTAATGATTGTGGAAAAAGCTAAAAAGAACCCAAAAGTATTATATAATTATATGAATTCACAACAATATGTAAGAGACTATATAAAAGCTCTGCGACAAACAAATGGTGAAACAAACCACGATCCAGAAAAGATTGCTGATCTTCTAATTATAAATTTTCAAAACGTTTTTGTCAAAGAAAATAAAGAGTGCACTCCATTATTCAAAACAAGAATCAATGATGATACCTTTAATTTAACTCCTGAAAATATCCAATATGAAGACGTTCTTGAAAGGCTAAATAATCTTGATCAAAACAAAGCCTACGGAGTCGACAAGTTACATCCATCTATCTTAAAAAACTGTGCTACTGCTTTCGCTCTTTCTCTGTCACTATTTTTTTTTTTTTTTTTTTTTTCTGTTTAAGATTGGTTACTTAATTTTAACATTGACAAATATTTAGTTATGCACTATGGCTATAAAAATAAGAGATACCCAATTTATATAAATGGTTGTAAACTCAACATATCAGATTCAGAAAAGGACCTAGGAGTGATTTTTTCAGATAACTTAAAGTGGAAAAATCAAGTCTTATCGAGTGCAAGCAAAGCAAACCGCATGTTAGGTATAATAAAAAAATCTTTTGTTCAATTTGATGCAGAACTGCTAAAATCTCTATATCTTTTATCCTTTATCCTTTGTTCTATCTCTTATCCTTTGTTCGACCACTCCTAGAGTTTGCTGTACCAGTTTCGGCTCCATATCAAAAACGAGATATTGCAATTTTAGAAAGAATACAGCGTCGTGCCTCTAAATTGGTACCTTCAATCAATAAATTGTGCTATGAAGATCGACTAGCTTGTCTTAGATTGCCCTCACTAATTAAATAAAGACAACGTGGTGACATAATTCAGTTGTTTAAAATTTTTAAAGGTTACGATAAAGTTGAATTTAAAGAAAATAAGTCCTTAAAATGTAATTGTACTCGTGGCCATAACCTAATGTTTTATGTACAGAAAGTTCTAAAATTTTCTGTATATAATTATAGCGAAAATATTTTACTAAATCGAGCTGCAAATTATTGGAATGCACTGCCAGAAAATGTCGTTAAAGCTAATTCAGTCAACTCATTTAAAACAAGACTTGATCGATGGGAGTCAAACCATCACAAGACTCAGCTGTCAAAGTGTGCTTTAAAGCCACACTCACACAATACCAGTCACAGCATAAACTAATACTAATACTATATAAATACATATATATATATATATATATATATATATATATATATATATATATATATATATAACATACAAGTTTGAAAAAAACAACCGTTCCTTATTCGTTCTAATAAGTCGTTATTTCCGATCGAAGCTATTTGTAGTATTCTTAATTTTAGAGAATGTCTCTTTACAAGGATTTAGAAAAGGTGAGTATCGGGGTAAAAAACCATATAGTATCCTTATGATACTATATATAGTATCATAGGGATAACTATCATAAAAATCATAAAATGAATTATGAAAGTTAACGTTGTCCATCACCAAGGTTGTCCATCACCAACATTGTCCATCACCAAGGTTGTCCATCACCATCATAACGTTGTCCATCACCAACCAACTCTTTTACTTTCCCCAAAATACTTTTAATTGTATTTAATTCTTTTAAGACATCTGCTGTCATCCCTACGCTAGTTATTGCTTCACTGTGGACTATGTTTAAACAAATTAATGCTAATATCATGGTTAAATTACGACCTCTGATGACAATACACATTGATTTGGGGTCGTTCCTCGGAGACTGTATCCGTAGTTTCTTATATGAAGATTGAACGGACTTTTATCAATATAAATGATATTTCTGTAACGTTATTGCAATGTATGTTTTTTTCTTATTTTACCTCTGCAGTATTGCGTCTTTCAATAATGGGTCTTAATTTCTTATACGTATAATTCAATTTTTTTAACCATCGCCATAACTTAAAGGCACCTTTATCTCCTGTAGATTATAGCTTCTGTTATCTCCAATTAACTCATGAAGCCTATTTCTTTTTTCCTCAGTACAACCTGACTGTCGAAAACCACCTCTAATACAAAAATTGATACAGTCAGCGCCAAACGCAATAATTTGGTAATAAAAATAGTTAAATATGTATTAATTATTGTGTTAAACTTAAAATGTATGAACATTTTAAGTTTAACACAATAATTAATACATATTTAACACAATGTAACAAGAAATAAAATGCAAAAAAAAAATAATTATTATCTTCTTTTTTGTTTAAAATATGTAAAAAAAACAAAAAATTAAAAATGCATCATGTGCCAAACCTTTTCAGCATGTTTCAGAGATTATTAAGACGTAGAAACGTACCTAATAGTCAATCTTTTTACCTTTCTTCATAATATGAATGCAATGCTTAGGCATTGAGGAAATGAGCGTCTCAAGCAAAGATTTGGGGATTTTGTTCCATTCCATCTGGATGGCCATTTTCAGTTTGTGACATTAGTTTATTGTTTTAACCCCAAATATTTTCAGTTGGGTTCAAGTCGAAGGAAAAGGCTGGATGAACAAACAACTAGATGTTATATTCCATTACAAATTCCATCACGGTATTTGCCATATGTATCGATGCGTTATCTTGCATAAAGTACAAACGTATGTCCATAATTGGCATGCCAATATGGCATTAAGTAATCAGGGAGTCTAATAATATAGTCTTCAGCTGTTTGTTTCCCTTTTAAGAATTTTAATTCAGATAATCTAGCCTTGGAAATGCATAAAAACGCTGAGTAAAAACAATTTTTTTTTTATTCATCCAGCCTTATATATATATATATATATATATATATATATATATATATATATATATATATATATATATATATATATATATATATATATATATATATATATATATATATATATATATATATATAAGCATATATATATATATAAGCATATATATATATATATATATAAGCATATATATATATATATATATATATATATATATATATATATATATATATATATATATATATATATATATATATTATATATATATATAAGCATATATATATAAGCATATATATATATATATATAAGCATATATATATATATATAAGCATATATATATATATATATATATATATATATATATATATATATATATATATATATAAGCATATATATATACATATAAGCATATATATATATATATATATATATATATATATATATATAAGCATATATATATATATAAGCATATATATATAAAAATATTTTTTTATATATATGATAATATATATATAAAAAAATGGAGTCAGAAGATAATACAAATTCAGATTCTAGTGAGATTCAGCCGTCTGACCCTGGAGTCAGAAGTTTAAAATCAAAAACATCAGGTCTTTCTACAATCCTAGATGGGCGTTATTTCAAAATAACCAAATTGCTGATGAAAAAAAAATGCTAGCTAGGTGTAAAGCTGATTTAATTATCAATCGTCCAAAATAAACAATCGTCCAAAGATTTAGTTACCGGTCTTTCTCCCTCATCCACAGTTATGTCTTGTCCAACTCTTAGTACTAGATAGTAAATTTGAAATTATATTATAAAGAATTAGAGATCACATTCAGAAGACAGTTTCTATATGTAATACAGCAGAGTATTTCAACTTTTCAGAGATGTTAATGCAACTGTTCCATCATCTGCTCTAGTTGAATACCTATTTTCTAAAGGAGCCTTAATTGCTGTGCCACGCCGCAAGCGGTTATTAGATAAACATTTTGAACAATTGTCTTTGAAAGCAAATTTTTTGTTGAATACCAACAAAAGTTTAGATTAGATTTTATTGTCATTTTAAACTTGAGTTGCTTTAAAGCACTTTCAATAGCATTTTTTTTATTTTTCGCTTTTTAAAAGTATTTTGTATTTTAAACACTTTTATATTGAGTATTTTGTATTTTTTATTTTAAATATTTAGTGTATTTTGTATTAGTATTTTAATTATATTTTTGATCCAGTATTTGTATTTTAAATACTTTTTTGAAAGTATTTTTTACAGGTAGCAGGAAAAAATTCCCCGGGAAAAAATCCCCCGAGAAAAAACCCCCTGCCCCCGTATAAAATCCCCCCAGAAAATATCACCGCCCCCCCCCCCCCCCAAAAAAAATAATTTTTTGAATTAAAAATTATCAATAAAATAGTTATATCGTTTTATTTTAAATAGTTTTATAAAATACTTCATTTTTCATCAAAATGTCAAGGTTAAATGCGAACTGCGAACCGGTAAAATGCGAACTTTTTTGCAAACCAAAATATTATATTTTATAAAGACCATTATTTTTATGATAATAGTAATATATATAAATAAAATAATATAATAAAATTTATTATATTATAATATAATAAAAAAAACTTTAAAAAAAACTCTCCAGTTCTTGATTATCTATTTTAAAGCTTTATTTAAAATAAAAATTTTATTTTTTAACTGTAAAACATGCGCGGAGTGTTGCTACATCGAATATCTTTAGCCTGACTCGCAACGGAGTGCTACTACATCGACTCGCAAATAGCCTAACTCGCAACGGAGTGCTGCTGACTGAGGGTTTGATTTGGGCAAGCAGTCTATCAAATAATTAAAAAAATATATATTTTTATATTTTTATATCGTCTTTCACTTAATTTCCTTTTATTTTTTATTTTTTAATAACTTTTTCCTTAAAAGTCCTTAAAAATATACCGCTAAATTAACAATTTAACGGTAAACGATAAATAAAGTATTACATCATTAGCAACCAATAAGACGATGGTTCGCAAAAAAGTTCACATTTTACCAGTTCGTCAGGGTTAGGCTTATACCATGTTCACACTGGCAATGTTCGGCGGAACATTATTCCGGAACAAATGTTCCCGGAACAAAATGTTACTTGTAGCGTTCACATGTAAAATTGGCTTGACGGTACATAAAAGAAAAAACGAGTAAAAAGACGGTAGGTAAAACTCGAATAAAAATTAGTGACAAACAGTTTGGCAAATACACATTGTTAATATAATTTATTAATTTTTAACATTTAAACATTTATGAGAGGTAAAATACAAACAACGCTGAGGGTTTAGCTAGCTCAGAGTTAGACAATAGAAACCCAACCCAAAATACCCGCCATACAAAAGGTGACGTTGGAATTTTGTTATCCCGTTTTTTGGCTTTTATGGATAGGTCATATCTCCTTTAGTCGCTTTTGGCGACACAGAATAGTAGTCCATCAGTGGTATAGTACCGAATAAACATATTATACATTAATATGTTACCCACGACCAGTTAAAACTAATCTCATTTTGTGTTCATACATATTTAATATTTATTTATTTAGACACATTTGATAACCTCAAGGAAAGTAAGTAAATACATAACCATATTACAGCTAAAACTTTAAATAATAAATAGTATTATTACTACTTTACTTGTCCCTTTCATAAAGGTGTTTAGCAATTGAGTCACAAACATTTTTTTCTGGTCCATTGTTCCCAGTTGTAGAAACTGTATTGGGTTGAGCTAGACTGTCATCATGATGATGCATAAGCCATTCTATTATAATAATATCGTCATAATATTCACAAATGTTGTGAAGAGTGACGCAAGCATTAACAATTCTTGTAGCCAAGTTAATATCGCATTCCATACGTTTGCAAATTACACGGAATCGAGCTTTAACGCGCCCAAAGGCATTCTCAACTACTCTTCTAGCTCCGCAAAGTATTTTATTGAAATTTTTTTGAATTTCACTAAGCTCCAAATTTTCAAGATAAGGTTTTAACAAATGACGCGTTAAAGGAAATGCTGAATCACCTATCAAACATAGCGGAACAAGAGAATCGCCCAGCTCTTTACAACATTTATCAAATAGACTTGATTCTAAAATTGCTTTCAAAGAAGAATTCTGCAAAATATAGCTGTCATTATTTCTACCAGGCGATCCAACACTTGTATAAATGAAACGGTATCGACAGTCTACAACGGAAAAAAGTACAATGGAATACCACCATTTATAATTATAATAAGAAATTGCTTGATCTTTAGGGGCTAAAATAGAGATGTGGCATCCATCAACAGCATTGTGGAAAACCAAGAATAGCTTCGAAATCTTTACTATGTTTATTTAAATTTTCCACTGACAATGGAAATTTAACATATTTAGGGAGCAAAATGTCATTAACAGCATTAATAAATTCATGAACAATTAAATTTGCTGTTGACTTTCCTATGCCAAAAAGGCTAGACACAACACGATACTCTTCACATGAAGCTAGATAATGTAATGCAACTGCAACACGTTTTACTACTGAAATAGGTTCTCGCATAGTTGTGGTAGTTTTGCCTAAATGTGGATGCAATTCATTAACTAGGAAATTAAATGTGTTACGTTTACTCGAAAATGCTCTTTAAATTCACATTCCTCCATTTGATTAAAAATCTCATTAAACCATTGAGAACTTTTCGGCCTAACCCAAACTTTTTTTTCAATCAGATACCCTTGTTGATTTAACTTAAAGGAAGCTAAATCTAAATATGAAAATGGGTGATTGATTCATCATTGATTAATGTTTTACTTCTTGATCGAAGTAGGGCCAAAACGCTTTCCATGTTTTTCCAATAGCTTTTTCCTTTACAGATGTCTCCCTAAAAAGCTATTAAAACTATATAAATATATTAAATAAATATAATACTTATTATATTACAATTCAAGAGAAATTAAAACACATTTTTAAAAACCATTTTGTTAGAATTGATACAGCATGATCTGTTAACAAAAACAAAAATGAAACATCTAATGCAATTTGTATAAATTAAAAACAAAACACGTCGGCAAAAAACATATCACTATAATTTATCTACAGGCTTGCTTCATATCGCAAAAAAAAATTATTTGGTAAAAATACTAAATATATATAGCATAGAGATACAAAAAAAGGTATTTATAAAATAACATGACAAATTTAAAAAATACCACCAGATATGCATTTTAATGCTTGAAATCACAAAATATTTTTATTTTACATAAAGTAAAAATTCCTTTGATAATAGTAATATGGTAACATGAAAAAATATATATAAATAAAGCTTCATCTACAAGCTTGTACAATATTTCACTAACCATCTCTTTAGTTAAAACATTGAAAAACCTTATGAAATATATATTGCATAGAATTGAAAACAAGGTATACTGTTGAAAAAATACTGACCTTTCAACTTTAACATAATTACTAAAAAGATATCTTGACTAATAGAACACCTTATTTTTTTATTAAAAATTTATAATATTCTACTTGGGCTTTAGACACATCTACTTGGGCTTTAGATGCATTTTCAATTGCATCGCAAATACGCTCTAAACCAACAACCTCTCTGATTCGTAGCTCTTGTGAACGGATTTGAACATCTAGATTTTTATTTTCTATTTTTAAATATTCAGAAGACAAATTTGTTTTTTTATTTTTTCTCACCGGTTCAGTTTTTGCTATTTTATTCAAAGTTTTTTTATCATCAGAGTTCCTTCGTTTATTGCAGCTGGATGTAGATTGAGTTAGTTCCTCATCAGGAATAGTGACAATTGATTGCACATCACTTGTATCATCCAGAGCTTCAATATTTAAAATACTGACAGTCTCCTTGCCATCTTCCATTCTGGCAATCTGTAAATAAAATATACACATTAAAAAAATTACACATTTGAGAAATGATTATAAATCATGTTTCAATCAAAATTTATCTCTTGACTTTGAAAGACTTGACTTTCAAAAAGGATCTATTTAGACAATAGCATTTTACAAATTGATCTAGCCAATATTAAAAGATCCCTTTTATAATTCAAAAACTTTATATGTTTTTGATCTTTATGTTTTAAGTCTGCCAAATGTTGCAAAACTAAGAACCTCTTAAACCTTATTTTGTAGAAATAGTTAACATGCTTGTTTATATTACTTTAAAAAATATATAGCACTTTAAAATATACAACAATAAATTATACTAAACTTACCTGACCACCTTGAAAATCTTGAGTAGAAAAGTTTTGACTTTGAGATAAAAGGTCATTGTCAAGGGAAGCTTCACCACCTATTATTTTGGCAACAATATCGTAAGGCCACCATTTACTAGGAGCTCCTCCCGATGAACCAACTTGAAGTTTTTCTCGTCTATGAAAAATATACATAAATATAAGTAAATATAAGCACATCATTAACACCAAATTATTATTAACGAAATAATTATTAACAAAATTAACAAATTATTAACGAATAATAAAATAACGAATTATTAACAAAATAATTATCAACGAGCTGTAAGTCTTCAATACTGAATAAGATTTAAGTAATTTTTAATATAACAATCAGTTATATTAAAACAACAAAATCAACAAACTAAATTGCAATTAGATATTATTACACATGGTTAGTTTTGTAAAATACTTTCAGTATTTCAGGTATCAAACATTAAATGTAGAATATGTACATACCTAAATTGCTTCCTCAAATTACTAATTTTAGATTGAATTTGATATCCAGTTAACGGAGGTACGATATTAAATGTGTTTCAAAATTCAGCTGCCATTTGTTTGTAAATATTTGTGTTTCTTCTTGCAGATGTTAATGCTTTGTAATTATCTTTCCATAAATCTAATAATACTCTTGTGTTAGCCATATTCCATACAAACTTATTTAAAGGAGATGTGCAAAGATCAATATTTGTTGTGCTAGCGTCAATACACTCTTTTTCTGAATGCTGAGACATTGTGTAAAATTAAAGTTTTACCTACTAAAAAGGATAAGTACATTGAATCTTGCAACAATAACAACAACAACAACAAAAAGAAGAGAAATAGTTAATAATAAAATTAAAGGTTAAACTTCATAACTGCTATAAATGTTATGGGCTTAAAATAACTTAATAATGTTATGGGCTTACTAAATAATTTAATAAATTGCCAAAAGCTGGTAGCCAAGAGAACAGAAACTTTCAGATGCTACTTTTACTTTTTTTTACTTTTCCATGCAATGTGATAATTATGTTATTTAATAACATTGATCTTTCAACACTATTGTTTATTTTTATTTTTAAATGTCAATAATTGTAGTACATTGTGGCAAAGATATAAGGTACAGTCATATCAATACAGTCAATCAATAATATATATTCTGAATAAAGGTCTTACTTTCACAATTATTCACAAACAGTAAATTAAATAATATCAAGTAAATACAGAATATTTATGAGGAAAATACTTATGATAATGTTCACAAATTAAAATAACAAGATAAGACAAAGCTAATACAATAAAAAATATATGACATATAAATAAAATATATGACAAAGCTCATATATAACAATATATACCAATAATAATATCATTAATAATATTAATATAAATAATAATAACAATGATGATAATAATGATAATAATATTAACAATTGTTATTGTTGTTATTGTTATCATTATTATTACTATTATTATTCTATTATTATAATTATAATAATAATTATTTTTATTATTATCACTGTTGGCAAGGCCAATGATAAACAACTCTGCTTATTAGTTCAAAGTTGAATTTTATAAATAAAATTAATATAAGTTTATTAAAAATGCATTAATAGCAATGCTTGCAAAGAATATAATTAAATAAAAACTATTAAACAATGAAAATTAAACTTTCTTAACACAAGTTAAATGTTACCTTGAATTATACTTCTTATTAATTCAAATTAAAACTGATCTTAATAAGAATAATACTGTTTTTGTAATGTTATATTTTAAGATTAAGTTTTTAAACACACATATATAACTTCTTTTTAAATTAATAATACACTAATAATTAAATTTCTATTCTATTTATCCAAATTTTAAATATCGTTAAAAATAACTTGAAATTTATGATGGTCAAATAACTGTTTTTAAATAATTGCCCACCATCTGGTCTACTCATGATTGATCCCACACGAGTGGGATCGGAATTTTCTTGGTTGCATGAAATTACTACAAGTTTTTACTCAATGAATAAAGATATGAAATTATATTCGAAGAAATGTTTTGAATTCAATAAAAAAGATGGAAGGCAAAAAGTAAAAGTTTCAAGGCAACATGTTGAAAGGCAAATAGTATATCGATAATCTTGTCTTTATATATGACCAAGACCTAGGACAATGCAGAGATCAAGGACTAAAAACTCTTGTTAAGATGACAACAACTTTGTAAAAAAAAATAGTTTGAGTTACTTTCAAAACAAATTTGCATCTTGCAATGCATTTTTATTGAATCATTTAGCTTATATGCATACGCTTATTTTAAAAATAGTTGAAAATAGGCACCATTTTTTATACAAAACCAAATAAATGTTCCGGAACATTTATTTGTTCTGGGTTTTAGGGTTTCACATTCGCTACCTTAAAGGAATAGCGCATATTTGACATTTTTTGAAAAATGAAGTATTTTATATAAATATTTAAAATAAATAAAGAAATAAACATAACTGCATATTGATAATTTTTAAGTAAAAAAAAAAAATTTTTCGGGGATATTTTCCGGGGGTATTTTTTCCTAGAACCTTTTTTATAACACTCAGTATTATCTATTAGTAGAATTTTTTCAGAAACTTTTAACAGATATGGGAAAAAGCTATGAAAGTGGAGCTGTCAAAAGAAAGAAAAAAACAATAAATGAAGAAAATATAAAGAAACATCGAAAACTTGATAGTTTTTTATTAAAAACAGAATGTCATGCTAATTCACCAACTTCAGCTAATCTTGCAAACTGTGGCATAAGTAAAGAAGTAAAAATATTGGATTTTTTTAGAGGACTCAGTTAATGAAACTCAAACTCTAATCAAACAGTTTGAGGGGTCAAAGTAATCTTTAGAGTTTTTCAGAAATTGGAAAAAAGAAACTAGTTTTCCAGCAGTAAAGAATGATTTGCTTTTAAGTCTAACTGGAAAATGCCAGGTTTTAAGTATAGCTTCAGTTTAAAGCTCTTTCTTTTAAATTTGTAGTAAGATTATTGATAAGTTCGCTCTTTGCATACGCTCAAGTCAAATTTAAAGTATGATTTCAGACTTCAAGTTCACTTCTATATATATATAACAGGGGCAGATCTAGGATTTTATATAGGTGTAGCTAAAATTTGTAAAATTACGTCATAATTGCAACTATTTAATAAGTCGGTTAATCTACGTCAAAAAGACTTCCGATAATTATGTCATGTAGACGCCGCCAGACAGTTTTTTTATCTAAGCGTCTTTAATTTACTTTTTGCACACATACATTTTTCATTTATTTTTAATGGATTCTAGAAAATAATTAATGGTAAAATTATTAATATTTGCCTTGGCTATTCTGTTCGTAATTTAGACATAATGTCTAACTTACTTAACGAAGTGCAACAACTAAAAGGTAAGTTATAGGACTTTGCACTCCATATGTAAGTTGTAACGCTGCCTTAAGTTAGCTCTCCAATTCTGGATTCTTTCCATAATATTTTTGTTACTAATAGAATAAATGCAACTATTACTGCATTAACAATATGATATCATGATTTATTCAAAAGATGTTTACTTTAAAAGTTGTATACTACTATAGATAAATATATATTAAAAAAAAAGATTTGAACAGTCTCACTATCTATAGAATCCTTAGGAAGCTAATTTATTACATCTTTGTTTTTTATGATTACCGAGCACTCTTTTTATAGCATACTCGAAACTAACACAACTAACACTAACGAAATTAACACACATTTAAATTTTTTATTTTGTGGTTTACATTATTTAGTTAAGAACAATTTTTAAAATATTTAACATTTTAGATGTTAAGGATTATGAAATGTACACAAAATAGAAAATAAATTTATTTATTAAACATTTATAACAAATAAAAAATAAGATGCTCTAAGAGAAAATTAAACAATGAAAAAAACAAAAAAATGATTGTAAATATAAGAGATATTCGATTATTTTATTCACATATAAAAATAATTATTATTCAATCATAGCCAATTATTTTAGGCTTAAATAACAACTTTAAACATCTCTCTCCAGAAGCTGAAAAAATTTTTGTCAACCCTGTCTTTATCTAGAACCATTTCGATATAAATTGACATTAAAGCTAGGTCGTTCAATGACTTTTTTTAACACTCTACTTCTTAAATAAGTCTCTTGGTACCTAGAATTAAATCTTTAAAATATTCAAGAATGTTGGGGGGGGGGGGGAATCAGTCATTGTCATGACTTTTGTTTAAAAAAATACTAGATGTGGGTTTTCATCCCATATAAACCAACTTGCTTTCTGTTTGAAATCTTATTTAATTAATAAGCTCATTAATAAGATGGTCCAGCAAAGGTAAATTGATAGAAAGCTTAAAATAATCAGATGATGAATGATTATCATGATTGATTTGCTTTCTACATTTTCTAGTTTTTTATTTTCTTTTACATTTAAAGTCATAGCTAATTTAAAAGCAATATTAGACCAGTTGTAGCAATATAAATCAATACCAAATTTAATCTCTTGAAGCGTGTTTAATTGTCAATTTCAAAATTCTGAAATTTGAAACATGTTGTATTGCTTATTTTGGAGTCTAATTACAATATAAAACATTCAACCCATCAAATTTTGGTTAAAACTAAAGTTACATTAAAATAAAATTCAAACATTAACTATGAAGAGACTTTAGCTGAAAAAAATGTCTAGATTTTTCTGTTTTTAAACCCAACAAGTTAAACAGACATTGATTAGCTTTGTTTTACCAACAGAAAGATAATTATTTAAACATGCCTCTAATTTTTTTTTAAAAAAAGAGCACATTTAAATAATTAAGGAAAGTTAACAAACTTTAAGAAATCTTTACGAGTATTATAGTTATTGCCTACATATCTTATAACGATAGACTATTGTTTAAGATTGGCACAATCAGATGCTTTATCAGCTAAAATTGAATAGTATTTACTATTATTAATTTCAGAAATAAAAGCCTCACTACAACACTCCATAAGTTGATTTAGTGTGGTTTAAGAAATAATGTAATACTTTTAGGGGCTGATATTAAATGATCTTATAAGATAGTGTCACCTGCATAAATTCCAAAATTAAGTAGTTCGAAAATATTTCCTTCAACTCTTTCTTGAGGACTCACTTATTTTATAGTCTCCAATATTGTATTATATTTGATTCTAATCAATAATAGAATCAACTTATAAAATCCTCTTTAATTAAAGCTTCAATTTAAAGGTTAAAATTTTTTAGAAGAAATAAAAATGTAATATTTTAATTATTTACATTTATAGCAAAAAACAATAAAAATTGTTTATATAGCTCTGTGGCAAAACTATTATTTATAGTATTAAACTGTTTAATAAAATAATAATGTTTTAGTTAAATGTTATAAAAATTTTAAAACAATAAGCACAGAAACAGTTGTATATAAGTAAACTAGTTACAGTTATAAAAAGCTAGTTATTTTTATTACAAATATAGTACGTGAAAACATAGTTAAAAATATACCTTAAAGCTACAAAAGTTTTGTCAAAACCTTGATCCATTTTAAAATATGGCATAAAAACATTTGTATCAGGGCATTTTCGAACCAAAAGTTTAACTACGAAATTCGTTTTGTAAACAATTTTTTGCAAAACCATTTCGATTTGTAAACAATTTTTTTCGCAACATTTAATGTTATGAATGTGAATCAATAGCATTTGGAACAGTTTTTTTTCAAAACATATCCGCCATAATAACCAACTTACTAAGAAAGTAATAAAGGCGCTTTGCTTATTTGAAAATAGCTTGACTGGGAAATAAGTTCAGCCACAAGGCAAAAAGCAATCTAGCCACGGGCTACGAGTGTTGACGGCATACGACTTTTGAATAAAAATATATTACATTGAAAAAAACAATAATTTAGTCAGCTTATGCCGTAAAATCAGGTCGTTTGTAGCTTAGCCACAAACCGATATGTTTGTAGCTTAGCCACAAACCGATCTTTTTTTTAATTTTTTTTTTTGGTTTTAAGTAATCGCTTTTAAAGCCGAATTTACACAGCAAATAAAAATAAACTTATCTTAATTATTTATATTATTTTTATTTTAAAAAAATGTTGGAATATTATATTGTTTTTTATTTCGTTGATTATTTTAAGGTGTAGCCTAGAGTATAGCCACAACGGCTATACTCTAGATCCGTGCCTGTATAAATATATAAATTTGTCTAAATACAGTCAGTCGGCAATTGTCGGCAAAGTTGAAAGGAGTCGGCAAAGTGAT